GAATTTTTGTCGCTCTATATCCCACAAAACGCATAACTGTAAATGAATTATTTTGTAGTAGAAGTTTTACTATAAGAGATGTGTATAACTGCCAAATATAATTATTATTAATAAATCCCAGCCTGTTGACAATTAAGTAATTATGCTTCTAGCTCTCTCTATGCTACTTCTCTGCAGTAGATTTACAATAATATAATATACAGGGTAATCGTCTCAATGTGGTTAGCATTCATCTCTTGTCCAGTGGAACATAAAATACAAATAGGTGAATCGACAATTTTAAAACAAAAAAAGTAAGCACGAAGGCAGTCTTTTCCAGTCAAAAGTCTAAACGTGGCAATTGCAGCTGAACGTGCACCACCATCAAGCACAATGGTGACCGCAGCTGAGAACATTCCAGGTCTTATCTCTTGATGAGCTGGTAGCTGCATTACGAAATGATTATTTAAAGCAGTGCTTCTCAAAGTTTCAATATATCTATATATTTGTGACCCAATGTTCAATCCTGATTTCCATCGCGCCTCCACTTCATTCAATAAAAATGAAATGAATTAAATAATACTATGCTTTGACACTAAAGCTACAATACGACTTTAACCTCTTAAGTGCCACAGGCGTATATAAGCGTCTCGCTCAGCCAAAACGTTAATTGCCCCGACCGTATATATAAGCCTTTCCGAACTACGATTTTCTCTGTGCACTGCTATCCATAAAACTATTCCGAAGGCTATGGAATGCAATGAAAGGACCTTGACAGTGTTTGCGAAGGATTTACTTATTTTAGAAGATTTGCTTATTTTTATTCCTTTTCTCCCCCCTCCCCCAATACATCACATACGCGCTTCTACGAGGAAAACGGTGAAATAGGGGAGCACATCGCGTCATTTTTAATCGGCATTTAAGGGATTAATTATAAACCGTACAAATTATCAAGATAAGTGTTAATTTTTGAGTATAATTTTATGTATAACAATCCCAAGGGGTCATTGGTAACTATCAATGTTATTCTTAACTAAGTATTGTTAATTTAATATAAAATATATTGTTCAGTACTGATACATTTATAAGTGTCATTTATGGTCACGTATACTGGGATGGGCACAGTAGGCCCTGGCCCTCCTGGGCTGCGCCACTGAGTTTGAGTTTAAATATGTATTTTATTTTTTATTGTGTCAGAATGTATTTTGTTTGTTAACTTTCAGTAAGTTAATAATTTTTTTTGTTTTCGACTTTTCAATATGTTTGCGTTCCCCTCGTTGAGTTATCACGTCCCCCTAGGGAGAAGCGCCCCACAGTTTGAGAAACGCTGGTATATATGAAAACTCTATTTATAGTTTTGATTAATATAGAATGGCGGATTTCTAATTAAATTCAGGGTAATATTACTTCCTTCTTTACCAAATAGTCTACTTTCTCATTTCCCTCGATACCACAGTGGGAGGGCACCCACTGGAAGGACACTTGCGATGGATTCCCTTGCCAAATACCTACTGCCAAATGAAATTTCTGAATACACACAATGAGGATGACTAAATAAACCCAACAGATACTTTCTTCGAAGCCGATCTGCTCCAAATATGATCGAAACGAGGCTCTTGTTCAAAAGCTGACAATGAAGACAAAGAATTTCAACCCTTCTTAAGAGGTTGTCATTATCACCATCAACTTTAACATCTAATAAATAAAACATCAAACAGAGACGTCGCGATAGGTATCTCTGGAACGTCCAAAAGTCTCCTCTCGAACCGAAATGTGTCCTTCACACAGGCACTTGCCGAGAGATTCTAATCAGCATTCAACTAAACATTCCAATTACTTATTGTGGCTATTTAAAACACACTTTGTATTTCTGCTATCGAGGCTCGCCGTAGTGGAACGCGCCGTAGGGTTCTGGTCAACTGCTTTCACTACGGTCGGGTTCACCACCTCGACACAATAGGTTCCGTGAGGTCCTGGAACAGTTTCAGTTTTTAATAGATCTATTCATTCGTTCTTATAAGGATTGAATTTAGAAAGGTTCTTGTTTTTGCTTGTGTTCTTAGAATACTGTCTATATATTGCATGCCGATTGCTGATAATTTATGATTCGTTTGTAACGGAGATATTGAGAAGTGTCGTTGATGTAAAACACGTAGTTAAACGAAGTTGAATACATTAATACCCTGAACTTTGCGATGGGTGGGACTGAGTAACCGTGTAAGTCGGGGTATAATTTCGCGTATAAATACATATTAATCATTTTTAATTGAGGACGGAGACGGAAAAGAAACAATTTAGTAAAAAAGAAAACGTTTCATAAAATCTTAGATAATAAGAATACAAAATCGCAAACCAAAGTTAATTTGATGCAGAAGATTTCATAAAATCTTACAAAGTAGTATATGCCGGCTCAAAGATTTTTTTTACCACAAAATTTCCTCGCAGCATGCGAGTAATTTTTTTTATTCCCCTTGTTTTGCTGGAAATATACACTCTTCGGTGGAGTTCATATTTTCTGAAATTTACTACCCCCCTACTCTCTATTAATTCACTCTCTCCCTATATATATATCCTGTTCAAATTTTCAATCGTTAATAAAATACTTTTTATTCATCTATTCAAGTTCAAATACATTTCTTTAATCTTGTAGTGGATGATATTAATACAGTTTTTTCAAGTACTAATGCCTTAATTAAATTAAACGATGAATAAAAAGTAACAAACAAAAATAATAGTCCAACAGCATATATAGAATGGAAAGTCGTTCGTTGTGTCCCTGTAGTTCAATAAATAGCGCGTTGGATTTTAATTCAAAGGTCGTGGGTTCGAATCCCACTTGGTATGGTCTAAATTCTGAAAATGTGATTTCTTTTCTTCTATACTATTTTATTAGAATAATTAAATTTAATGAAAGTATAAATAGTAACAAACAAATAAAAATAGTCAAATACCCTATATAGAAAGGAAAATGGAAAATCGTTTTCTATTTCGTCACTTATAATATTGTGATTCTGTCATATTTATATTAATTGTAACTATTTAATAAAAAACAACTAAAATAAGTTTTTTTTGTTGATCTAAGTAGGAATTGACTTAATTTTTTTTATAGTACTTGTTCAATTAAACTGAGTTCTTCGGTCAATTTTCCAACCGTCATTCGATCTTCTGATTGAACTGGGTCTACAGACTTAAGTTCTTCACTGTCTTGCTCTTTCATTTCTATGAGCTCATCAATTGCCAGCTCCTGATTGAGGGAATTCAGCAGTTTAATGAAGATAATGGGGGAGCGAGTCAGTTTTAGTCCACTCAAAATATTCATACAATGAAAAAATACTTTTAATTAAATGCAGATACTCAGCTTGATTCCTTGAATTCGCATCACGGGGTTCTTAATCTCTTTTTTCTGGATACACCAACAATTCAAATATAAACTCTAATTTAATCTAACGTCAACACGTCCAATTGCTATCTTCCTCCTCCCACTCAATTCACTTAACTTTAAATAGCTGTTCTCTTTTGCATAAATCAATTCTTTTACGGAAAGAGATTCGCAAATCAAATAATTTATTGGAAGTAATTGTACAAGAGCGCGAAGAGAACCTATTAGAATATTTCTGTGATATTTTTCCAAAATACATGTAATAATTCACTTAAATTTCTTTCGAGGAATTTTAATTTATAATGGCCTAGAGTCCTCCAAGTCTTTGCGTGTTAATTCAATTCCTACTATTAGCTCACAGTCTCTATATATTTATTTGTTTTTATATTTATTTATTTATCTTGTGTGTGTGTGTGATGGAATTTTCAATCGTTAATAAAATACATTTTAAAGCGCTCAATTGAGCTGAAATTTTAAATACATGATTATTTTGGATGACAATACAATAATTTAATTATAATTAATAAAAATTAATTGATTAAAACTAACTATTTAAAGAATTACAAATACAGCCACATTGGCATCATTTTTGGCGACTTGGCGACCCTTTTGGTGACCTGTGTCAAAACTTGAAAAGGTTTTTTTCTCACATTATAAAGCCTTCAGTTGAACTGAAATTTTACATACACGATTGCTTGTGATGACAACACGATATTTTAATGATAATTTAAAAAAAGTTAATTTCCACTTAATGTTGTGATTCTGTCACAAATTTATATTAATTGTAATTATTTAATAAAAAGTAGCTAAAATAAAATTTTTCTTTGTTGATCTAAGTATATAGGAATTGACTTAATTTTTTTTATATTACTTAATTTCTAGTTCACCCACGTAACGGGAAACAACCATAGCCTTGTCTCCCAAAAACTGAAACTTCAGAGCCTTTAAATCAGGGAGATTCAATCTTGCATCACCCACGCATTCGCACCAATCAGAAAAGCCTTTTCCCGAAATCATATGATTTTATTAGTTTCCCGTTGACCAAGAGAAAAAACAGACGAGATCTCGGGAGCAAAACAAAGGTTGCTTTTGAGAATGACTTGTAAATCGCACGTTTTAATGTCTTACTTTGTATGTTGCTCCTTGCTTTTTGTTTGTGGACAAGCCTACTCATCCCTCAACAACAATAATTAAATTATTTGATCTGATCATGTATGTGCAAAATGTCTTAATTTGAGTGCAAATTATATGTCATACATAATACTGTTAAAAGCGAAAATAAGCAGCATAGTATGGTTTTTATAAAAATAACTTCATCTCGGTATTGGATCAATATTGGACTTTCTACTAACAAGTAATATAAAAAAAATTAAGTTAATTCCTATACTTAGGTCAACAAAGAGAAATTTAATTTTAGTTACTTTATATTAAATAATTACAATTAATATAAATATGTATGTACATATAACAGAATCAGAATATTAAGTGGCAAAATACAAACCGATTTTCCTTGCAATTTTCCATTTTCCTATCTGTATATGGTGCTAGACTATTTTTTTTGTTACTATTTATTCCTTCATAAAATTTAGTCATTCTATAAAAATAGTATAGTGAAAAGAAATAACAGTATCAGATATTTAGCCATCCCGGGCGTAATTCGAGCCCACGACCTTTGGATTAGAAGTCCAACGCGCTATCCATTGCGCTGCAGGGACACAACTAATGATTTTCCTTTCTATATACTGTTATTTTTGTTTGTTACTATTTATTCATTTTTTTTATTTCCTTAATGAATTAATATTTTAAAAAACTGTTTTAACATCGAGGATCACCCACTACAAGTTTAAAAAAATGTATCTGAACTTAAGTGGATGAATAAAAAGTATTTTATAAACGACTGAAAATTTGAACAAGATATATATATATCTATATAGGGAGAGTGAGAACTAATAGTAGGAATTCAAAAACACATCTTAGCACCTCTTATCGCAATAAGTAAAACTTACAACCCAAAATATTTCATTCATAACAAATCTACTTTTTGAAAACTCAATCGTCCTTGCCTGCCACCCTTGACTTCCGAAAATCTCTTAAGAAACTAACCTTAACGGACAAGCTGTTAAGCGAGTGGCTGTCTCTCCAAGCGTGGAGAAGGGAATTAACCGAGGCTGGGCAATTATCGTTACAGCAGAGAGAGAGAACGTCCTAATCCAGCCTAAAAATGGACCGTGGACAGAAGGCACTTCCTCAGAGTCATGCGTAAGGCATCTACCTCTTCCATCTTAAGAAGAATGCGGAAGAAGCGCTCTTTTACTTCGAACGTAGTTTACAGTTAAGCGACGATGAGTTTTAAAATCATTTTCCTGTTAGGGAAAACCTGCTCTCTTTGAGTTATTAATTCGTGGTTGCTGTTAAAAAGAATGACATTAATTGAGGTGTGTAAAATTATGCGGGCTTGGAATAGTTATGAGATTATGTAGGTTATCTGATTAAAATCTCCATAAACATATTAATTTGAGGTTTTTTTTCCGGAGAAGTAATTATATGATTATAAATTGAGTGCTGGAATAATGTTAACATTGAATAAGTATTATTAAAAATAATTGTAAAAATGTATAACAATATTGCTATCAATACATCAAATACGTTCTTAAACAATAATTACGTGTGTAATACTTACTTTAATGCTTTTTTTTGTCACATATTATGAAGAAGACGTAGTTGTAACGTTTGCGCTGTGCAATCAATAATGATAATGTGCTAAGATCAAAGGAGGAAAAACTGTTTTGGAGATTAAAAAAATAATTAGGCATAGAGTAGGTGGAAAAAAAATGACTTTTTCAAAATTTATTGCGAAATTTATACGTGTATGATTAAGTTCGTACGCTAAACAGTTACAGTAATCAGATTTTTTCTTTCAAAAATTTTGGGAGGTTTTTTTTTTATTATTATTTAGCCAGAGGTGCATGCAGATATTATTGGGGGCAGTAGGTGATATAAGACTAAATCACTAAATCATAAACTAAAAAAAATGCTAAGAAAATTCTTAAAAGCAATTTTTAACTCCTTAGCTTAATTATTTTGTGAAAGACGACAAATTTTTAAAAATCTTTTATTGCTGAATTTTAAAATTTATTGTGAATATAAATTATTAATATGAAAATTATTTTTATTAATATTATTCATTAATATTATATTACTTATTATGTAATAGATATTGTGATTATAGATGATTATTATAGATATTGTGTCACGCGATACACACACAGGTGTAATTTCGGGGTATTAAATTAAGAGATTAATAATTGTTGAGTTGATTTGTAGTCACGACCCTCTCTTGCTTGACTATATCATTTTTGTAACCCAATATATAAACAATAGAGAACGCTGTTCCGAATTCTGAAAAGTGAATTATGCTACTTCAGCAGATTCTAAACCTAGAAACATATAACTGGTGCGATTTCTTAAACATTTTTAATACGAAAATTCCTAATAATTAATTTAAAATGGTTTTTAAAAAATGTCTATTATTTTAATGTAAACTATTGGCTTTGGGAATGAATGTAAGATTTTATTTTATTCATGTATTAATCTATTGTGTTTTTTAGTTATTATTAAACACGTGTAATGGATCTAACAACTCCTTGTAGTGAACTCAAAGAAAGACTCTCATTCTAATCCTAATCCTGGTACTGACAGCAGCTAGGATGTTAGATATCATGTAATGTGTGTGTGTGCGATACCTATTCCTTTCATATTGTTACGAATTTTGTGTAATGAATGTTTAAAATGGTGTAAATAAGTTATATCTGGATGTGCAATACGTTTATCTTACTCTATATTGTATTTATTTTTTGTTAAAATTATAATATTGGCAAGCAACGCCGTTCCCTGCATAATAACGACGATTAAATGGAAATTTGGCAAAATCTTGGCGATAGAGCCAAATTGGCATCATTTTTGGTGAGTTCACGACCATATGGATTCTGGAAATTACGGGAGAAATCTACTTATATCACGAGAAATCTACTTATATGACGTTTTCGGATTTTTCGGCAAATTTCCGTGAGGTTTATAACTAGGGAGTCGCTCGCCGAAATCGAGTTGCTCTTGATTTGACCGCTGAAGAGTAGCATTGATTTGATCGTGAAGAGTCGACCTGCGATTAGTGATTACTGAGGATGTTGTGCAGGACGAGAGAGTGCTTTCAAATAATCTTTTACATACTTGTATTTTAGACACGGATAGTTGTGTCTGAACGCCAAGGAAGGTGAAAGAAAGAAGAAAGAAGCCTTCTACAGCGTAACAATATTTTTTCTATGTTGTAATGTCAGTAAATAAATTCTAATGAATATTAGCTACCTCACAATTACACAAGGTAGTATAAAAAAGTAATAAAACAAATGTTCTAAATACCAGGTTATTAGAACTCACAATAAACTCATTATTTTGGTGTCTAGAAGCTCTACTTTATTAATTGGTGATCCCCCTAAAGAAAACAATCAAATAACAAACGAATTAAATGAAAACTTTTCATCAAGAAGTTTCATTTCTTTTGTTTACGGAAATAGCGAATTAGGGTGTACAGTGTTTACTCTACATGTTAATGGAGGTTATAGTCTGAACTTAAAATTTCCCATGGGTCTTTATTTTTCTCAGCGGAAGGGTAAAAAAAGAATATGTCTTCCAGTACGAAACGGATACGGATTCCATCAGAAAAACGATCGCTGCACGCGAACTGGCGTGCTGGAAACTCGTGCGAATATTTCATTATCCATCCGATGACAGCGAGGAATTCTGGTGCGTAGAATTGTTTCTGTTCCAGTCGGGAAAGTTTAACGATGAATTGCAAGTGCAAAAGGTATTAATTTTGAAGATCTCTCTCACACGACTATTAAAAGTGTACGTGTTGCTCCAGCTCTCTCCTCACTCTCCCTCCCCTTTAGTTTCGGCAACGAATCGATTTATTAAACTGTAGAGTATACATAAAAAAAGAATATTGTTTTATATCGGAACTGAATACTCTCCTACGGTTACGTATCTTAATTTAATTATTATGAACATAAAGTTATAAAGGAATTTTCAGTTTTTTAAAATATAATCAATCAATATGCAGTGAAATGCGTTTAACTCGAAAACGCTTAAGACGAAATATAGATTAACGCGAAATAATATACAACGGTCCCGACAAACTACTATGTATTTTTATTCATTTTTTTCTCTTAACGCGAAGCGAAAAATGCGTAACATGAAAAGAGTTTCCTTTTGAGAATGAACAAAATACAGAAAACACCAGCCGCACAGGCGAGATTTAAGAGGGGTGTGAAATGAAAGAGAGGTAATATCACATGTTTCGTAGAAAGGAGGCTAACTTGGTTTTGAACTACCCTCAGAATATCCTGAGACACGAGCCTATCCAAGCTACTTTTACTCTCCACCCCTAAAAATTCCACACAAAACATGTCATCTCTCATCTATTGGTTTTGGAATTCGGCGACGAGTACGTCGCAGTGTGAGTAAAAATCAGTGAGTTGGGTTCGTGTTTTATTTCCTATTTTAGAAGTACTTTCTTATGAGCACAATAGCAAAGATTTCAGGGGGAAAGCTAACTGCTATTTCGCTTCAAAAGGAAGATGTAGTTTCTTAAGGCTGTTGATCAAAAACAGAAGACCAAAAACGGAATCTGTAAAAATGTCGGTATTGTAACGATTCCCCCCACACAGCTGGGAATCGACTTCTTTGTGGAAATAATCACCACACGTGTATTTTTCACCTGCAACTTTAAAATTATTGTGTGGTCCCACCTTGGATCAACCCAGAAACCTTTGATACCACGAGGGACCCTTTTCCCCACTAGCGGGATGTAACTGGAAGCTAAAGCCGCCGCTCGCGAATCCCGAAAGGAGAGAGAGAGAACGGGAGATGGTCTGACAACCTCCGTTGAGAGCAGACCGCAAAAGAAAACTCCTCCCTCACGAACCACATCATTTGAACTCTAATAATCTTTTAATAAGTTTAATAACTTCAATGTATAATCTGTAAGTAATAACTGGGATGTAAATAAGCTAAAAAAGTTTAAGGGGGCATGGTACGATCTACGCAGAAATTTTTAATTTAAGGATTTTTTTTTTTTTTTTTTTTTTTTTTGTTGCTTTCTATGTGCGTATACTATGTAAAACAGATTTTGTGCTCAAAATTTCATAAAAAGCTGGCTATATAATTTTTTTAGGAAAAAAATTAAATTTGTGAGGTGATTTTAAAGTACTACTCCTCCTGCAAAAATTTACGTACATGCATGAAATTTGATTTACAAGTACGTTAAACTATGTGTAACAAAAGTTGGTATGGGTTTTGCGATAACAGGGTTGGTATTTGTACAATACCTCTTTTTATGAATGCTTATTGAAAATTCCTTAAAAAAATGTATAAATTCTGAGTTCAATTACTTTTTAAAAAATAAGTATTGCTTTTTGATTTTAAAATGCATGCCAACTTTTGTTACATGTACTATTGGCAATGAGTAAAAGAAAATTCAAAGTATTAGGCGCAATAGAAAAAAAGCCTTAGCATTTTAAATAAAGACAAACTAGTTATTTTATCTTTCTGAGAAAAGTTAGTTTAAAGTTTTGAATTGCCACAGGGATGTGAATGAAAACGATTGTAAAAGCTATCATATATAATTCTGCGTTTTTTGCATTTAAAGCTTTTAAATTTT